AATAAATTAGGCAACAGTGCATTTCAAAATTTTCAGTGCTATCAATAATGTAATACTATATGTATATACTATATCGACATGATTATGATAATTAAATTATGTAAGGGGTGCATTTCAACAAAACTGCCCTGCTGGCTAACCTCACTTTATACGAAATAATTTAAATATGGATTTCAGACTCTCAATTTAATTGTGGTTGACTATTTGGTTAGTTGTCTATGCAATAGGATTTCTCGCAGAAGAAGATATTTATATAATTACCAGAATTGTCCTACTCGTTACGTGTCCGAGCCGACTACCTGTACAGTATAAATAATCCACAAACTTAATGAATGTAATTAATGGTGGATTGAAAATATTGTATTGTTTTTTATCTTTTAGTCAATAAAAACCAATATTTTAGTAAAAAAGATTTTCTTTATTTTTATTTCAAAAAATTAATTAATAAATTAGATAAGAAATTAAGGAAAGCAAAACAGGTAATTAAATAAAATGGCAGCACTGAATTTGAATGCACCGTTGCCTTCGACGTTAAGTGATTTCGCTTGGTGGCAGTAGTACACAACGTAACACAACCGTACTATGCACTAGAGCCAAATTAAAATTCTGTTTACGAGTGATAACCAACATTTTAATTCATCGAATTTTTCAGTCAGAAAATTCGAGGTACATAATATTTATTCCAAAAAATAAAAGTAAGGAATTATTATTCTTTCACATACAAGTAGCATTGAATTTATTATCTAAAAAAATAATCTGATTAAAAGAAATATGGCAGAAAGGTGCTTAAATGAAAGTTCGTATTGCTAGATTTAAATAACATAATAATTAATAACAACTATTATAGTTGTGGTATAATACCACAACTTTATTCCCGAATAAAAATTGTTTCAAAGTGTTTTAAACAACAAAATAATACGTATTAAAAGTAGGGGAGACCGGGGAGAATTCGGACACGGGGAGACAATGGACAGTTTTAAATCTTCCGCTATATCGGGTATTAGTTGGCCCAACTGCCACAATAGTGTGTAGTGGAACAGTGTTACTTTGTTGGTGATAATCGATAGGTGAGTTTTTTGTTGTTTTAAAAAATAATAAATGTTTTCGGTTTTTCATTTATTTGATGTAATATTTTACATCGCCTGTGGAAGGAATATCTCATTTTTGTACAATTCAATTATTTCGCGATATTGATATGTTCATTTGTCGTCTTATATTTAACCATTCTGTAAATTTTGTATAGGTTAGGTATTTACATTTTCCGTTGCTTGCCTTTTCTTTCAAATATTTCATCTGGGGAGACTTTGGACACATCGTCCCAAGTCTCCCCACATGTCCTATTAAGTTTAAGTTATACAAAAATTTTTTTTTACAGAAACATGCCACGTTATTAAAAAAAAAAGACCGAAAGTATTATCTGCCCAATTGCTATGCGAAGGGCCGTAGAGCAGGTGTTAAATGGCGGAACTCTTCGAAAAGTAGCATTAAACGGTGTGACGAAGACAACCTTGTCCGCCTATGTAAAAAAAGCACGGGCGGCAGGCACTGAAAACGTGGTGAACACTTCAGATTTTTCGAAAAGTCTAGTGCTATTAAACCCCATGGAGGCCACGTTATCATCATACCTTTTAAAAGCCAGTAACATGTTTCATGGTTTAACACCATCAGCAACAAGGAAAATGGCCTACGAGTTTGCTACAATTAATGGTATTACTGTGCCACTGTCTTGGCGCGAAAATAAAACTGCATCAAGAGACTGGTTTACAGGATTCATGCATAGAATCAAAAATTTATCAGTTCGTAAGCCTGAGGCTACTTCTCTTGGAAGAATGACGAGTTTTAATCGTAATAATTTGAAAATTTTTCAAGATAAGCTGGATCAAGTTATTAATCGATATGGCTTGGCAGCCAACGACATATATAATCTAGATGAGGTAAAGGTTTATGACCATTGTTATTTTTAAAATATTTTTTTTCAAGTCTGGAGTGACCACAGTCCCAAAATTACCAAAAGTTGTTGCTAAAAAAGGACAGCATCAAGTTGGCCAGAAGGTTTCAGCAGAAAGAGGGGAACTCATTACTCATGTTAGAATCATATGTGCAGATGGAAGTTCATTACCACCAGTCTGGGTATTTCCTCGCAAGAGATTTGACGAAAAGAAAATGATGTCAGGTGTGCCTGAACAAGGTGATTTGGGACTTGTCCATCCTTCTGGATGGATGACATCTGACAATTTTATCAAGGTACTCGAACATTTAGTAAAACATGCCAGATGTTCAAAAGAAAAAAAGATTTTGCTGATAATGGATAATCACGAGTCCCATTTATCACTTGAAGGACTTGACTACTGCAGAGTAAATGGTATTGTTATCTTGACCTTGCCACCTCATACTTCGAATAAATTACAGCCCCTTGACCGCTCTGTCTTTGGACCGTTCAAAACTTATGTGGGACATGCTGCAGATTCGTGGATGACGGCTCACCCTGGGCAAACTCTTACAATTTATGATCTGCCTGCGCTCTGTCAGCTAGCTTGAAATCGGGCAGCAAATCCAGTGAATGTAAAAAACGGCTTTCGATGCACAGGCATTGTCCCATTTGATAGAGATGTATTTCAAGAGGATGACTTTTTGGGAGCTTATGTCACAGATAGACCAGAACCAGCACAAAATCAAGCTGTAGAAAATATTGATACAGGAAACCAAAAAGCAACTGTAGAAATTGCTGTTGCAGACATACAAGAACCAACTGGGGAAAATACAGATGCAGTAATACAACAACCAGCTAAAGACATTACAAATAGTATCGAGATTCAAAAACTAGCTGAGGAAAATAATCCCAAAACTGGAAACGAAGGGAAAGCAAGCTGCTCATTTAAATCTCCGGAAGACATCCTGCCTTTTCCAAAAGCAGGACCAAGAAAAACAATCAAAAAGGGAGGCAGAAAAAAAGGACGGTGCATGATTGCCACAGATACCCCGGAGAAAGATGAAATTGCTGCCCAAAAATTAAAGCCTAAAGTAGAAGTTCCGAAATTAAAAATAGTGAAAAGGCAGGTTTTCAACGACTCTTCATCTTCCGATAGCGAACCTGATATAGAAATGTCAGAAGCTGAATCGTCTGGAGGCGAATTTTGGGAACACGACTCAGAGGAAGGCCAAAACAACAATTTTGAACTTCTGGAAGTCGGCAATAATTCAAGAAACTATGTGGCAAGAATAGATGAAACCCTCTTAGATGGCTACAATGTCAAGTTTTTTAAAAAACAGGTTCAGTCAAATAGATTTACCGAAACCGAAAAGGATGAAGCCTTCGTTCCATATCGTGATTTGGTGGCCAAACTACCACGTCCTATGAAAGATACCCGTGCACGTTTTCTAAATATGACTTATTTGTTGATTTAATAGAATATTGTCTTCAATAAAAAGTATTTTAAAATGCTTTGGTTATTATTTACTGTCCGTGGTCTCCCTTACCTGTCCTAAGTCACCCTATCCTTTGTCCAATGTCTCCCACACGTTGGGAGACTTCGGACAAATGCACCACATAATTAAAAAAATATTGTTTCATTTCAATGTTTCTTTTTATCAAGTCTTGCTTGTGGAATTTAAAGTTAAGTATACCTATACCTTACCCACCTATCATAATGCGGTTAAGTAAAAAATTAAAACAATAAAAATACAATTTTTTTCAAAAAAGTGTCCAACCCTCCCCGGTCTCCCCTAAATATTAAAATTTTAAAAAATAATAATAAAAATAAAATTGTGTTCAATTCTTATTGGTCAAATAAAATTTTAAGTAATATTAAAAACATTTAAATATTAAAACAAATATTTCGTGCAAAATATTTGTGTGTCGAATAAGAAACTTTATCACTTTAATTTCTAAAAGGTAAATTGATTTTTATGTCGACGAGTAATAATAGAAATTAATTGCGACATAATGATAATTTCAGTATTACTTTTTCTTAAATAAATGTCGCGCACCTTGAATTAACTGGCTAAGAAATTCGATGAATTAAAATTTTGGTTCAATTTGACTGCGTGTTTCTCAAGTAGCGCCTTATTAAAATTATCTCAATCCAAATTTTAATTCATCGAATTTTTTAGTCAGAAAATACGCCATTCAGTTCCAGAATTAAAATGACTTTCATTCTTATTCTGTGCTTAAAATTGTGTACTTAATATACCAAGACATCATAAAATTTTTACTTTAAAATGTTCAGTCAATATTTAAAAACGCAACTTGAATTAATATTTAGCTTTAATAAACATGAAATTAAAAAGTAAAACGGCGTGCCATACTCTTTGTCTTAAAAACTATTGAACTCTCGATAAATGTTTTAGGACCAAAAGATAATATTAATATGTAATAAATTTTAGCCATTTTCGTAGCCTTTTCTGGCGACATTTTGGTTCCACCATTTTGTAAAGACAATAATATAAAAATAAGAAGTTACGCAAACATGTTGGTCGACAATTCCCAGTAATTTAAGAAACTGTATTTTAATGTGTGAATAATACACGACTTTGTAACCTATCAAGTACTTGTTCTATTATAAAAGCTTTTAGCTAATCCTATTACCCAATATTGTTTTTTTTCGTAAATAATGAAAAACATTATAAATTTCCTGCCTAACAACGGGAATAATTAACTCCTTATTCACATGGTTAGGCAACAGTGATTGGCCGATTGTAATATTCACTGTGGTTTGAACCAATCGGTTTTTTAATTGGAAGAAGGCGACTATTATAATAATATAAAATTGGTAAAAAGTGAGGTTAACCATTTAACAGATGTCAAATTTTATTTAATTATTTTTGAAAATCATTTAATTATCTACTATTTGGAGTAGATATAGTACGATTTAAATATTTCGTCTGGCGACTCGAGACGCAAAACCTTGTTAATAATATTCTGCATTATCTCTCGTATAATAATATACTATTTTTTGTCACCAAAACTAATGGCACCAATAGGTAAATATTTTATTAATTACCTGTATTTCTATAAATAGCATTAACACGTTGAACATGCCTAGTCATAACTTCAATGCAGGCCTCCTCAGTACCATATTTGGAGAAAAAATTGTGATCTGCCTGTAAATACAACATACAGGTCGTCTTTTTCGGATCTATTACTGCTCGTTTGTTAAAATTTCGGAATATTAATCCGGATATATCCACGTTAGTACGGTTGTCCATATCCAATTCCTCGTCGATCGGCTGGCTCAGGTCAAAATAAGAAAAATCGTTTTGACTTCTGTTTAATAAGTTGTTGTGATCGAACGGCAATTTTGATTCCCCTTGCAAAAGCCATCGTTTTTTTCTTTGCTTGTTTTGTTCTATGTTGTTTGAACGTAATTGATGGGAGGCGCAAGGAGTGCCTTTGCGAGGGTCTTGCACGTCTGAGTTTTTGTAAATTATGGAGTGATAAGAACTATCGAAATTGGAAGAGTTGACGTAACGACTAAGCGGTTCTATGTGGAAGTCTTCTAATAGAGTTGAAATTGTACCTTCGAATAATCCTTCTTTCGTGATGACACCATGAACGACAGCAGATTCATCGTCTGAAATAGAAATATTGGTCTTATATTTAAGGACGTAGATAAGGGGGGATGATGGGGGTAATTAATCAATTAAACAATTATCGACGCCCTTGCGTATAACTATAAAGTTATGCTTTGTGTTGGCGAAAAGTATTGCGTCATGGCCCATGGGTTGGTTTAAGTTGTGGATGTGACTTTGGTTACATAACCTTTATTTTGTGTCATTGTTAGTTGAGAGTCTCAACTTAAGACTATCGATAATAACTTTGATACTTACCTATATATTAAAAAATAGTTATCCATGATAACTATAACAAAAATAACATAACTTAATAATAATAATAATAAAAAATATATAACATAAAAAGAATCATAATTATAAAATAATAAATAAAATAACCAATATAAAACATACATAAACAACAGACAGATAATATAAAAGAAAATTATACAAGAAGAAATACAAGAAGAATGATATAAGAAAAAAGAAAATAAAATAAGAAATTATAAGAACCCTATTGAAAATGCCATATAGAACCATATAAAAAACACGTATCTGGATTCTATATGGTTTCTATCTGGTTCAATATAGGTATTTGAAACAGGCATTTCACTATAGAACCAGATAGAAGATTACATTATAGAACCAGATAAAAACACTCTAAAACACTATAGAACCAGATAGGGAAACCTATCTGGAAATACATATAGAACAGAAACCAGATAAATCCATATACATCCATATACATGTCTTTATAAAGACATGTATATGGTTGTATATGGATTTATCTGGTTTCTGTTCTATATGTATTTCCAGATAGGTTTCCCTATATGGTTGAATATGAAAATTTTTAAAATGGAAATCCATATTCAACCATATAGAATCCGTAATGTAAACCAGGACTTTCCATATAGGACCTATAAAACCATATAGAACCAGATACGTTTCCTTATCGGATTCAATATGGGTTCTATATGGCATTTTCAATAGGGAAGAAAGATATTCATGGATTTTGGTGGAATAAGAAATTAAAATTAAAAATACTTATTTAGATAAAATTTAAATTAAATTTATAAATAAATAATTATACATATACAGGGTGTTATGTAATTAATGTTATATATTAAAATACTGAATACCTTTTGACATAAGGTGTAATGGAAAAATATTTTAAAAGATATTTTCCCAAAGATAAAGAAAATATATGCATTAGAAGTTTTTTATATTTTTTGTGATACGCCACTAGTTACACACTTGTGTTCTGTCAGTACATAGATACAAACCAACAAAGTAGCTGCGCGTTGCCAGTTGTAAAAAAATTGATACTAAAAAATTTTCTTGCAAAAAATAAATAAAAACTCAATAAATACAAAAGTTTTATGCCCTTAAAGCTCCAATACCATTCTGTATTTATTTACTCATCCAGCTATTAACTTAAGCAATGATAAAAAAAATTAGTACCTACCTATTTAAAAACTCCATAAAATTATTTTTTTCATCGGTTTTTTCTTTCTGTTTACTCAGATGAAATTAGGACAAGTTCACAGGTTAATCGTTAAACATTAAATTTGTGTAAATAAATCCAAACTCCCAAAATCACTTCCCTTAGTTAAGATATTTACAATTTGAGAACATAAGTTATGTTACATAACCTACAATTTTTTGACAGTGTTACCAACCATAACATAATAAATTAAATTGAACAAAGTAAATAAATCATTACGAATTATGATTAAAGTTTAAATCTGGTGTGTCTAAATTTAAATATATTTTTTATAAGTATGTTTTTAATCACAATGTTAAAACGATTTTTAAAAAATCATTAGTTTACAAATTTTTACAAGGTCTAATTCTAAAATCTAGCGATTTCAGGTTTTTATTTTTTTTCAAGTTTTTTCAGGTTTTTATTCTTTTATAAATATTTTGTAAGTTTGAAAATTTTTATTTCAGTTGTATAATCTGTGTTGTATTTTATTAGTAATAATAATACTTAAGTAATTTGTGCGAAAGATTTTATGCTATGGCGGGTCGGGCGCTCACAAATATTGAATAGACCTATCCCATAAAACGGACTTTTGGATAGCGCGTGCGTGAAAAGGCACGTCGTCTTTTTTTAATTATATAAAAGAGAAAGAGATACCACTCTTCTTCAGGCACGCGCTATCCAAAAGTCTGTTTTATGGGATAGGTCTATTAACAAATATGGTTTTGTGTTACGGGGAAGCGATGCAAAATGCTCTTCAAGCAAGAATTTTGTATATTCAAAATTATTACGCCAATTACGGACATCCACCGCCCTCGAAGCAAAGTTTTGTAAGTGCTGTGCAAAATTTAAGGGACCGCGGAAGATTTAGCGCATTTGTTGGTGATAGGGGTCGGGCTCAGGGACGTGAATTTGTGGCCCTTGAAGAGCAAATTTTGGACTAAGTGGAAGCAAATCCGAGAATTAGTACAAGACGATTAACTGCCCAACTTGGACAAATGTCCAACTTTGTTACGTGGCGCACGATTCACGAAAATAGTTTGTACCCTACAAAAAGTTCAAGCTCTTCAGGATGGAGATTATGCACTGCGGTTGGAATTTTGCCATTGGTATATACAGAAAAATCAAGAAGATGCTGATAGGAGCCGTAGTGTTTTGTATACCGATGAGGCCACATTTACGAGAGACGGGATTTGGGCAGCAACTCAGGAACTTAATTGTAAATAGTCCAGACATTTTTACGCGGGTGCACGAAAGCATGCTTCGCAGAGTTTAAGCTTGCATTCTAAATAATGAAATCATTTTGAGCATCTCATTGTAGCATTTTAAAAATAATAAATTATAATACTCAATAATTAAGGCCAAGGTCATCTGTTGACGTAAAATGGTACTAACGAAAACAATTGCAGTTAACTGTTATTATTGTGAAATATCTATTTTTAATGAATTTAAGATTGTAATAATTATAAAACCCCTCTCTGAGGTTGTTGTTTTGATGTGTTGCGGGCCAAACATTAATTGCCGAGAATCATTGACGGTGCTATAGCTATGGTATGGTATACCAAATTAGTTTTCGTTCAAAATATTTCTCTATTCCAAATTCTTTGTTTCGTTTCCCGTCTCAACTTTTATTGAGTTTTGTTCCTGGAAGATTAATTGGAGGGCTATTAAATGATTGATCCGGTTAAAATTTAATATTTAAATAAGTTATAATTAATTAATTTTGTTGTAAAGCGCCATCTTATGTTTTTCGATCGAAGTACGTTGTAGAAGATTCGAGAGTTAACTTTTTCCCCCGGCTTCTTCCGGCTACCGAAAATTAGAGGTGGGAAGTTCGATTCTTTTTGGTGAATCAATTCTTTTAATTCATTCTTTTCAAATGATTCGTTCATAAAGATTCGTTCGCGACTGATTCACTTTCTGGTTTAGGAACAGATAATTAACGAACAATTCAGGTTCGACCGAATTAATGACTTGGTTCTTGAATTGTTTGTAATGATGACTTGTATTGGTTGTATCCTTAAATGAATCAACGGTTGTATTATTAAATTATTGGATTTGATTTTTATTTTGCTTACGTGTAAATTATCCTATGGCTTTTCCGGTGCAACAACAGCACAGCTTACATAAAAAATAACAAAATACAAATACCTAGGTTGTATTGGAAACTTTTGAATCAAAAGAGTATTTTGATATTTGACAAAAAATTCCTTAAATATCCCTAGAAATATCACCAGTTATTCAAAAAGACCGACATTTTAGCGTATTGATCCGAACCTAGCATTTAATTCAGTGCTTGTAAGCAAGTTTATATTTATTTTATGGTTTGATTCACTTTTTAGTTCACTCGTCGTGATTTAAAACAATGATTCAAAAAAGAATTGATTCTTTTACAAACTTTGTTCGATTCATTCGGTTCATTTAAATGATTCGTTCTTTTTGAACGAATCGGAATCAAACTTGCCACCTCTACCGAAAATGGTGAATGGCGTGTTGTGATCAACCAAAATTTTATCGTTAATCATCAGGAAGTTTTAAAGATATTACCGCTGTTTTCCGGATCATCCTTATCGTAGAGATCTTCCTTCGTAAGTTTAAACAATTATTTTCGTTATTTCATTAATAATTGAGGCATTTTTTCCTTTTAGTCGAAAATACCGTGTGAATTATAATTCCAATATACTGTTGCCGATCTATTGTAATTGTACCCTAGTGCCGCATATATTATTGCAACAAACATTTGAAGTCCACAGAACTGTAGTCACATAGTGGGATTTTTTTTAGAAGCCCTCTTTAATAAGAGGTAAGTGATTTGGGTTAGTTGGAGGTTTTCTACATAAATCTGTTTATTCAGGGTCCTAACCTGGGGTTTTAAAACCTAGCCAGAGATTTCCAAGGCATAAGTTAATCCCTCGAAGAGTGTACATTTGGATTTAAGTTGGACGATAGTTGAACTACGTAGCACTAGGACTACAATACATGAAATTACAACGCAATAGCAAGTATACTATATTTTTTTGATTCCAAACGGAGGGGGTGAAACCTAATTAAACTATATTTTTTGTGATTCCAATCGGAGGGGGTAAAACCTAATTAAACTATATTTTTTTGTGATTCCAATCGGAGGGGGTAAAACCTAATTAAACTATATTTTTTGTGATTCCAAACGGAGGGGGTGAAACCTAATTAAACTATATTTTTTGTGATTCCAATCGGAGGGGGTAAAACCTAATTAAACTATATTTTTTTTGTGATTCCAATCGGAGGGGGTAAAACCTAATTAAACTATATTTTTTTGTAATTCCAACGGAGGGGGTAAAACCTAATAATTTTGTGTTAAAAATATTCAAAGTTGTGACTATGTTGAGCATAGTGCACACCTTATTTTAAGTTTAAGTTTTGGAGAATTTAATGATATAAATTTTCTTTATCTTTTTAAATATTGAGACATTTCATTTACTAAACACAGTTTATATCATTGAATCATCTAACAGGGGTAGATATTAAGTTAGAATAAGACTTTAGTTTATAAGCAGG